CAAGCGAAATTTGACAAAATCGTCATCATTATCATCAAAACTAAAATGCATACTGTGGCTACTTTGAAGCAATTATATCATATGGATCTGAGGTGTGTAAGCCAAACAAAACAGAACTGAGACGCCTCGAAAATGTACAAAGGAGAGCTACTAACTGGATTCTAAACTCCTCGGCAAAGACGTGAAAAATCCCGATTTTTACCTCTTTCACTACATGAAGAAACGCACGATCTCTTTTTCTTCCACAAAGTTGCTAACATCAACAGCGGCTGTTAGGTTTACGATCACGTTTTGCCCTGGAACAAAAATTCCTTCGAGATCCGACAAGTATCCAGAAACGCGTGTTTCATGTCAAAGCTGAAAAAAATGGCAAGGACAATTTCTGGTACTGTGTACCTTTACTGGCAAATAAATTGTCAGCTTGTTTTGGATTCGATCTGATAACGATGGATTACAAAAGTTTGAAAGAAAAATTGACTGAAATATACTTGAAATTCTCCTATGAAAAATTTACTGAGCGCAATTGATGTTCTTGGCGAGTCAACTATGCTAGCAACTGCTGTTTAATTTCAAAAACTTTGACATTAGCTAAAAATGTTAAAACTGGGAACTTGATTCAGCTCTTGAATCTTATTCCTAAATTCTGTATTTTTATGATTATTATGATTTTTAATTTATCAGCGAAGACCAAAAATCGCTCCTATATCTTGCAAAATTCTTACGTTTGTAACAATCGTCCGCGAATGCCACATTTGACATTAAGAATGATAGGCTCCAAAGCCATTGGATCAAGGGCCAGAGACCTTATTTCTCGTGCTATTCTTATTCCATCGGTCGAGGCCAATAAACGGGGCTAGGTTTTTTTTTACCAGATTGACCTTTTGCCACACCACAAGGCCTTATTTGAATTGAGATAAATTTGAACTAGTGGAAAATTTGAAACGGAAGCGGTTACATCCAAAAAAAACTTCGCTAAAAAACCGTGAAAACATTGTCTTTAACCGGACTAAACGTTGTATCTTTTCTGTTGAAAGATCGGTCTGGTAAAAGGTCGGTCCCCCAATTAACGGTTCAACTAGAAATGGAACTCAAAATCGTGTTACTGCTTAAGAGACACTATCAAAAAAACCCACAATCTAGAAATCAAATAAAACGCCCCCATTGCCAGGTCTCTAAATACCAAAAAATACGCAATTCCCGTTGAAAACAGAATCGGGAACTTAGTGTTAAGCACTTTTGTTATTAGACACTGTGTGTTCTATCCAATTTCACATAGATCAAACTAGAAACTCACCTTATCTCAGCATAGTCTCGTAAAACAATCTCTAATTAAAACCAATTACTCGAGACATGATAAGTAAGCTCTGGAATTAACTCTAGTACGTTATTCAATCAAGCTCAAGGAAACTAGCTAATTTGAGAAGTTTTATAATGTATCAAGGAGTTTTGACCACTAGGCCCAAGTAAAGTTGCACTCTAGAACAAAGATTTTTGCTGAGAAAACACAGACAGATTGCTGAAATAAGCAGATAGAAATTTACAGCCGAGGATTTTGGCGGAAGGGCAATCCGAACTGTAACGATTGTGCAGCTACAATCGTTATGAAGTTCTGCCCGGGAATGGGGAGGGCTATTGTTAGGAGTTTGCTACCCTTCCTGGTCGACAACAAGACAGCTCTTTGACCCGATTCCGGAAGGGTCTCGGGAAAAGACTTGGAACTAGTTTTTAAAACATTTTTTAGCTTCCTGGTATGTCATGAATTGAATTAAATGACATCAAGTTCATTTTCAGATTTTGAGAAGCTAGGAGTTACGGGAATGGTTTGATCTTTATCTACTGAACAAAAACAAAAGTAATATGTCAACTAAGTAGTAGCCCTGTTTTTAGGAGTGACCTCGTGGTCTGGGAGTACTGAGACCCAGCCATGAGCTCACTATTTTGCATGTAACCAAGTAAATTTGCGCAGTTTGGCCGATTGCCTTAAAAAAATAACTCCGTCGACCTAATGTTATTGAACCACACTCAGAAATAACTCTAAAGAGACGGTTAAAAGCATGTGAAGCTAAGTTTAGACGCTAGCCAGTCGTTTCATAGCCTATCTTTATTTTCCGTCGGTATGTACTTCTGGGCGAATGTTACAGTGATAACAACATGAGTTTATATCTATCAAAATGTCATAACTTGATCTTCAAATCAGATTGTACATCGCATAATATTCATATAGGTGAACACGAGCTTTCAGAACCTGATACTGAGAAGGACCTAGTTTTTAGTAATCATAACATCAAGAAATCTCATCTGGTCTGGCTGCTAAGAACAGCGAGTGTCAAAAAACCAGAAGAGTTTTTTTCCAAATCAAACGAAATTTGTCAAAATCGACATCATTATCATCAAAACTAAAGTGCATACTGTGGCTACTTTGAACCAATTATATCATATGGATCTGAGGTGTGTAAGCCAAACAAAACAGAACTGAGAGGCCTCGAAGATGTACAAAGGAGAGCTACTAACTGGATTCTAAACTCCTCGGCAAAGACGTGAAAAATCCCGATTTTTACCTCTCTCACTACATGGAGAAACGCACGATCCCTTTTTCTTCCACAAAGTTGCTAACATCAACAACGGCTGTTAGGTTTACGATCACGTTTTGCCCTGGAACTAAAATTCCTTCGAGATCCGACAAGTATCCAGAAACGCGTGTTTCATGTCAAAGCTGAAAAAAATTGGCAAGGACAATTTCTGGTACTGTGTACCTTTACTGGTAAATAAATTGTCAGCTTGTTTTGGATTCGACCTGATAACGATGGATTACAAAAGTTTGAAAGAAAAATTGACTGAAATATACTGGAAATTCTCCTATGAAAAATTTACTGAGCGCAATTGATGTTCTTGGCGAGTCAACTATGCTAGCAACTGCTGTTTAATTTCAAAAACTTTGACATTAGCTAAAAATGTTAAAACTGGGAACTTGATTCAGCCCTTGAATCTTATTCCTAAATTCTGTATTTAGGAAAGGAGGCAAAATCATGCCAGAGGACGCCCTGTTCTATAGAGGAATTGCTATAGCGTACACGAATACCTTCTGCTACCTGGGAGTCAACCTAACACCAAAACTAGCCTGCACAGAACACCTCAATGTGTAGATAAACAAAACTAAATCAACCGTGTTTGGACTCCAACAGAAAATATACCTTCAGAAAGTGTGCTTTAACTCGGCCCAGAGACTTCTGGAGCAAGTTGTTCTCCCAGCATGAACATGTGGCCTGAATACATTCCTACAGATCGACACAGATAAGTTGGACGACCATTATAACAGAATTTGTGGAATTTTCTGGAAGAAATGGGCTGGAATCTCTGTTTTCAGCTCCACGAGACTCCTTCTTGAGAACCTATACTTCAACGATTACCTTGGCCTGAGGCAGGCAAACACGCGACATAGACGTATCTTTGCGCTATACTACACCTCGGGATGTCATAATATTATATGCACTAAAATTGGCTGTTATAAACGCGAAATACATGATATTGTACAGGAAAAAGGGTTTACAGCGTATATGGACTGTGTCTGCCGACTTTGTAAGCTCCAGATGGTTGATGAGGATCACATACGACACTGCATCTCCTTTCCAGAAAGCCAGGATCTACCTGGAAGACTCATCAATATCAGGTTGCCGCCCAAGCAACTGTGACATCGTGCTTCTACGTGCCAAGACTCTTGACTTGACTCACTCTTAACACATTCCATGAGCACTTTAATTATACTTTTCATATTTGTCTTTGTAAGACGTACAATTTACCAATTTACGTTAAATTCTGTATTTTTATGATTATTATGATTTTTAATTTATCAGCGAAGACCACAAATCGCTCCTATATCTTGCAAAATTCTTACGTTTGTAACAATCGTCCGCGAATGCCACATTTGACATTAAGAATGATAGGCTCCAAAGCCATTGGATCAAGGGCCAGAGACCTTATTTCTCGTGCTATTCTTATTCCATCGGTCGAGGCCAATAAACGGGGCTAGGTTTTTTTTTACCAGATTGACCTTTTGCCACACGACAAGGCCTTATTTGAATTGAGATAAATTTGAACTAGTGGAAAATTTGAAACGGAAGCGGTTACATCCAAAAAAAACTTCGCTAAAAAACCGTGAAAACATTGTCTTTAACCGGACTAAACGTTATATCTTTTCTGTTGAAAGATCGGTCTGGTAAAAGGTCGGTCCCCCAATTAACGGTTCAACTAGAAATGGAACTCAAAATCGTGTTTCTGCTTAAGAGACACTATAAAAAAAACCCACAATCTAGAAATCAAATAAAACGCCCCCATTGCCAGGTCTCTAAATACCAAAAAATACGCAATTCCCGTTGAAAACAGAATCGGGAACTTAGTGTTAAGCACTTTTTTTATTAGACACTGTGTGTTCTATCCAATTTCAGATAGATCAAACTAGAAACTCACCTTATCTCAGCATAATCTCGTAAAACAATCTCTCCAATTAAAACCAATTACTCGAGACATGATAAGTAAGCTCTGGAATTAACTCTAGTACGTTATTCAATCAAGCTCAAGGTAACTAGCTAACTTGAGAAGTTTTATAATGTCTCAAGGAGTTTGGACCACTAGGCCCAAGTGAAGTTGCACTCTGGAACTAGATGAAATCTTGTCTTCAAGATCGCCTGTCGTGGCCATTCTCGATGTTTTCTGTCAATTAGCAGACATCTATACTCTCTCAAAAATTTCGAGATAAGCCAATTGCGATCAGCAATTGGTCAGGGGGGAATTTTAGCATGGCTTTCATGCAATTGTCAACTCGGCTGTTCTCTTTTTGACTTCTGATTTTCAGTTGTCGCGACAAAAATCAGGCATGCCTGGATCGAAATGAATGTTTTGAAAAAACCGTCAAAACTTGTGGCATTATGACCGACTGGCTCATTTTTATAATTCAATTTCGAAAATGACAATTTTTGCTCTTCTGATTACCATTAAAGAGAATAGTGAAATGTTACGCCAAATGTTTTTGCAGTTAATATGTCGAATGTTACTGTTCAAAATGCTATTGCGTGGGGTGTACAAGGTAAAGTGTGCAGAGGGGTGGTAAACAGCGAAGATGAAAGTAAATTCGACTGTATTGTGAAAGTGATTGAATGTCCAGATCTTAACTATGGGAATAAGTTGTTCAATCAGCTAATGAAGTTATCTGAACTCGATCATAAAGGTGTGCTTGTGCCTGAAGATGTCTTCCTCTCTTGGGAAGAATCGACCTCAAGTGTCAATGTCAACATAGTGTACCCAGACCTTCCCGATCCTTGTAGTTTGCATGAACTTATTTCGAATCACATTGATCCAAGTGAAACACCAGGTGAAAATATAGATATTCCAATTGCCCAGGTTCATAAAGCCGTTGGGGAAATAATTAGTGCGCTGAGCTTCATAAAGTCAAGTGGCTTTCTTCATTTAAATTTGAAGCCGTCCAATGTGTTCATTCAGTCAGGACATTTTATGGTTGGTGACTTCGGATTGCCCGCTCTATTGTCGGACATTGCCACTCGTACTAGAACAACCGAAGGGATACTATACAAGTTTACTGAATTGGAGTACTTGTATCGGATTGTTGAGGAACCAAAAGATCTCCATCGCTACCATCCGCCTGAATTGAAAAGTATGTCTGGATCCCGGATGTACGATAGTAAAACGGATGTGTACGGTTTGGGCTTACTGATCTACCAGATGCTGTTTCTTAAATTGGAGGTTCCAGATGATATTTCCGATTGGCATCGCAATGCAAAGGACATTGAAGATCCTATTTTGCGGGGATTGTTTCTGAAGTGCGCTGATCCCGAATACGAGACTCGCCCTACAATTGACGAACTCGGTTAGAGTATCTTTTTTTTGTGTTTATGAGCGAAAAAAAGATGTTTATTTTGAGCATGTTCCTCTCCCTACGCCCCTCATTACACCGAAGACTTTAGTCAAGGTGTTATGGTATCGTGTAACGGGGTTTTTTTTTTTTAATGTTGTCTGTTGTCAAGTGTCGACAAATAACGTCCACAGTTATCAATTATCATGTGGGCTGGACTATATCGCGCTATGTCACGTGATTGCGTATGTTTGTTTCTTTATTTGTTCATCTTTATTTATTTAATTATCTGTTCTTCTATTTATTTAATTATGTTTAGTTTGCTTATATTTATTTATAATTTATGTATGTACATATTTATTTTTGTTTATTTTTATCACGTGTTTTGTTTATTTATTTAATTATTCTTTCTTTCATTTAGTTTTGCTTTTATTATTTCTGCGTGTGTATTTATTTAATTTATTTATTTTCATTTATTTATATTATGAGTCTGTTTGTTTGGTTATTTGTTCATGAGAAATTTTGGTGTATACATGTGTTAGTACGATTTTTAGTTCTAGAAGTGTTATTTTATGATCTTCGTTGATATATCAAGAATTTGACCTATACATGTGTTAGTACGATTTTTAGTTCTACAACTGTTATTTCAGGCTCTTTCTCGATATAGCAAAATTTTGGTGTATACATGTATTAGTACGATTTTTTGTTCTAGAACTGTTATTCTTCAATTATTAGTTGTTCAAGTTGTTTGGTTTTTGCTTCAGTTTCTATGCCTTTGGTGTATTACGCGTAGCGCCTATGTTTTCAATTTTTGCTATCTCATAATGCTTTTGGCTAAATGGGTGATGTTGCGATGTTCCGTATGAAGAAAAAATCTGATTACGCGTTATAACAATCTTCAGTTTGTTCACCATGCCATGTTTCATTGCATTATAACGATGTTTACCCTTGCGATAAGCAAGGGTATTGCAGTCGGGTACTAGACTTTTTTCCCGTAAGTACATTTGTTTACAGAAATCATTCATCTCCTGGATTCTTTCATCTTCTGACATGCTCAATTTCTTGAAACTTAAAAAACTACAATAATTCAAGTCCTATAATTTAAATTTTACTTAGCTTGACTTCCTGTTTTATTTTTTGTTTGTTGTTGTTGTTTCGCTAAAAAATTCCTCGGCCCAAATTATTCCGGCCTATTTTTTATCGGCTTTATGAGCTAATTCTGGGTCGTTTCCAGGGCAACACACTATTAACACTTCCCTAAACTGCTACTAATTTCCAAAAAAGGTGTACGAATTTTAAAACCGCCTACTCCACTGTGTGCCTGCGTACTCCACTAGAGTCTCTTTCTGCTTGACCCCTCTGTTTACTGCCTTCAAAAAGCCTTTGGGGGAATAGTTGACCCATATTTTTGATCTCTCGAAAACTACCCCTCTCAAATCTGAGTTTTTAGTTTCAATGAATAAAGCAAATTTCAGTTTGAAAAACTCCATTAATGAGCGGTTTCTCCAAATTTTTTTACACAAAGTAATGGCACTCGTAATAGTCATTTTTTATTATCATTGATCGTTTTGTGGATCTTTTTGACTTTTCGAAAACTAACCTCACAAATCTGATATGGGTTATATGGAGATAACGGGTAGTGGAAAGCTCCCCTGCGTTAGCGGCCACAAAAGTTATCGCCCTCGGAAAATTCAATTTTTTTTACCTTTCAGAAAATTTTACCCTTGCTATAAGCAAGGTTATTGCAATCGGGTACTAGACTTTTCCCCGTAAACAATTTTGTTCTTAGAATAGTCAAAACTAGAAATGGTAAATTTAGGTTCAGTTCTTAGTAACTACAAATTTCTTTGCAACTCGTTCTCACCTGGTATGGAGGCAACGAATGTGCCTGGGACGGCAAAGGTCCTGGGTTTGAATTTGACAGGACGTGCTTTTTTGCAAACGGGAAATGGTTTCAAAAATAATTTGTCGGCTTATTATTGTCTGCTGCTGTTTTGTCGGCTTAGTTGCCATCTTGTAGAATTGATTTTTTTAAACGTTTTTTCAAACAATTTTCTTGCTTTTAATGGTCTGATTTACTCTGATGTTTGTAATTTTACTAACCTTGACTTTGTTTTTTTTTTTTAAAAAAACTTTATTCTGCCCAAATGATTTTGGCCTATTTTGTCTTGGCTTAGTGACCTTGGCTCTGGAGCGCACAAAAAGCGAAAATCTTAATAGAAATTCCAGTTCAAGTTTTTCCGGCCTTTATTATATCGTCTTGGTGGCTTCATATTGTTTCGTTTGACGTGTTTGTGTGCTTTGAGGGTGAAGGGGCTGATTAACTTTACAGAGTTTTCAAGTCTTGTTGATAATTTGTCGACTTGAAGGGTTTCTGAAAAGGTATTCTCGGCTTCGTTACCGCTGGGTATAACATCTGCCGATGCTTATTGCACCGTCTTTTGTCTTGACAAGTTCTTGTTTCAGAACTAGCCGTATTTGTTTTGATAGATTCAGTTTTTTCGTTTTCAATTTTTTTACTTTGTTTTTCAAAAAAACTTTTGAAAATTTTTTTTTTGAATTTTTTTTTTCATCAAAACCAAAACTTGTCGACCATTAGTTCAATTTTTCTAACTTTTCTCGAGAACTACCTTCCCAAATTTAAGATTTTGGGTTCAATAGAAATTACAGATTGCGCGAATCCTCGCCGCATCAGTGTCTACGGCCTTTTTTACACAAAAAGCTACGATTCTCGGAAATGTCAAATTTTTGATTTGTTGTATTTTTTTTTCGACTATTCTGATATCATAAGTTTAATCGAAAGAATAGGTTGTCGAAAGCCTATCTTTATAACTGGCTATGCCCAGTTTGTTTAAGAAAAAAGTTATGGCCTTCAAACAAGTCAAAGGGTTGAAACTTGAGATTTTTTGGAAACTTTTGACTTTACGCGAAAACTACCGTGCCAATACTCAGATTGTGTTGGGAATCTCCACTGCTTAAGCTGGCAGCTTAATAAAAAAAAGTTATTGCTTTTGGAAAGTGGTAAAATTGTGGCAGCTTAAGCAGTGGAGATTCTCAACACCGAGTTTCTCGATTGAACACAATCTGAGTATTGGCACGGTAGTTTTCGCGTAAAGTCAAAAAGTTTCCAAAAAATCTCAAGTTTCAACCCTTTGACTTGTTTGAAGGCCATAACTTTTTTCTTAAACAAACTGGGCATAGCCAGTGTTTTGACCGTTGTTGCACACAAATATCAGATGAAAAGTTCAATTGAAAGAACCGGTTGCGATAATTGTTCCTGCTGAAGTGGAGACTCCTTAGTTTTCGTGAGGGAAATGTTATCTTCTTGGGAAAATTGATTAAATTACATTTTCGTGCCTCATCAATAAAGTAAAATGGATTCAATATCAAACACGTAACTCCAGCTTTAGCTGCACCCCTAATTGTCTTTTATCGATACATAAGAAAAAGCTTGAGTTCAACTAGTTTTCTTCAACATTTAAGTTTTTTTTTCGACTGATGATTTTTATATTTGTCTTGTATCGCAAGTGGTGCACAGCGTTTTGCCTCTGTGTTGAAGCTCGTTACAGGTTGTAATAATCTTTTCCGACAATTTTCTAACGGGTTGATAGTTTTCGTCCTAATTTCTGTCAGTTAATTTTCCGTTTTTACTAAACGCTCTTTTTATCTGGTAGGATTTTTATTGGCTTAACTGTATAAAGCAAGGGTTTTGAAATTCACAATAACTGGAAGTTTACAAATGTGTAATTGTACCTAGTCTGATTTTGAACGTTTTTAGTATATGCTATATCGACTTAGTCAAATTAGTTTGCGTAATTTTGAGGGCAAGTTATATCCGTATGCGATTGTGTTTCATTTTGGATGGGCCGTAAAAACTTTTAAAGCTAATGAATTTTTTTACAACAACAGTTTTCTTTTCGGTTCAACAGGTTTCGACTCAAAATTTTTCGCCTCTGCTGTCGCTCGGTAAATGATTTCCAATTTTTTAAAGGCTGGTTATGAACTCATTTTTTCAATTTCATGAAGTCAATTTTTCAACTTAATTTTTCAGACTCTGTCATTTTTCCGCTTTATTTTGTGGCGCAATGTGTTCTTTGCATCGCAAGTTTTGCAAAGCTCAGCTTTTCCTCTGTGGTAAATAAGTTTTTACCCTTGCGATTAGCTAGTGTTATCAAATCGTGATGTAAACTTTCTTTCAGGTTAACAACTTGTTTATCAACATGAGTTAGATCATTTGATGGCTTGGTTTGTAATAAATTTTCTTAGCTTCTCCTGCACATTTGGTCTAGAGCTAACGACTCGACTACGTCTGGGTTGATTCCTGTAAATTGATAAATTTACAAAATCCGATATTTTTGGTAATTTTTGTTTTTGCGTTAAAGGTTTGGCATCATTTTTTCGACTTGTTTTATCGGCTTAGTGACCTAATTTTGCGTCTTTTGAAAAGAAAATATAGGTTTTCAGAGATTTCAAAATTTTTTCATGTTTCTTTTCGGCTCAATGGGAATTTATCCAGCTGTTATCGGTTTAATTGACGCTTGATAAATTTGTTTAAATACTTCTTTAACGTGGCGTGGGGCATTGTGTTTATGCATGTGTTTTGTCAAACTATTGTAGTTGTGGTTTTTATCGAAATTTTCCATTTTCTTTATATTAGTGGCTTCCTCGACCTCTGTGTTGAAACTGAAATTCAAATGGAGTTGGGAAAGAGGAAAAACTCAAAAAGAGTTGGGAAAGAGGATAACAGCTGTTTTTAAAAACTTCACGCGCATAGTCACTTAGCATAATTAAATATCAGATGAGGTCACATAATAAAATGTAACCTTATGTTTGAGCCTTTTCAGTCGTGAGATTTCAGCCGACGGGACTTCAAACGGAAGGGACTTCATGTAGATTTTTGAACTTTCAAAGTTCCTGAGCTCGAATGTGACCGAGACCTGCTTCTTTTTGGACAGTTTCCGTTTGAAAAAATTGTCGGCTTCTCGTTTGTCCGCTTTTTTTTTCGGCGTAGTTGCTACAGCAATCTTTTTTTTTGATTTGAGCAATATTCATTGTAAACGAGAACAAGACTTTTTTTCCCGTAAACAACTTCTACAAGCCTTACTTGGTTTTCTTACTTGCTTTATTATTGAATCTTAACAACTTTCAGGCTCGTTCCCATTTGGCCTTGAGATAACCTGGTTGCCTTTGCACACCAAGGTCTTGGGTTCGAGTCCCGGGCAGACCTTGTTTTTTCACTATATAAGAAATTGTTTTTTTTACGGTAAGATTTGAATATCGGACTTTTATTTGTCTGCTCAAGAAAAAAAAATTTCCGGAAAAAATTAATATCGGACGTTTGTTTGTCTGCTCAACTTGTGTCGGCTTAGTTAACACATCACACATTTTTTTGTGCTTTTTGTAGTTATCATTATAGTTGCTTTTCAAGAGTAATGAGCGTAGTGAAGACTCTTATATAGGTTTTTTTGTTTTTTTTTTTCAGGAAAAAGTCTTTAAATGCTCTAACTACAGATGTGCATTCATACATATTAATGTATTTATGAATGCACTTAGTTATATATGCAATTGAAATATATCTGATGAAGTTTACATAAATAGCACTCTCCAAATTCGAACTTGGAAATGATGCAAAAAACATGAACGATTTCTAGTTTTGAAAGTGGAATTTATTTTTCAGATTTTCAGCGGAATAAAAACCTTACATATGATCCAGTTTTCTCAAGTAGGAATCGTGTTATCAGAAAAGTGCTAATCATTAATTGTTCTAAAAATTCAAAGAGCTTAACAGAGATCTATTTTTTCTTCGACATTCGAAAGTTGAGATCTTTTCATGTTTTTTTTTTCGGTTTGCTTGCGTTCATTACTCTTTTCCAACTGTCAGTTGGCTATGTTTTTTTTGTAGTTTCAGGGGACTTCAAGTTTTTTTACAAAAGCGATTTTTTTTCGGCTCAACTGGTGTCTGCTCAAAGTTTTTCGGCTTAAGTAAGTTTTGTCTTTTGCTCATTTTTTATTCAAATGTATTGCTAGGCATGTTTATCTAGAATAATTTTTTTCGAGACAGTTTTGTAGAACTTCGAATTATCTTTTCGAATTATCTTGTTTTTTTTTTAGTTTTTGTGTTGTATCGCACCGTTCGACTGTGTATTGTTTTTGGGAGGCATTTTCATTTACTCTTCTAATTTGTAAATTTACCAATTTTGTATAATATCCTTTTTTTCTTATTTGATTTTTTTTTCGCTTCAAAGATTCATTCACTTTAAATGGTTTCGGTTTATTTTATATCGGCTCATTCGCCTAATATTGCGTAGTTCGAAAGAAGGATGACTTTTTCTTCTGTGTTTTTCGAAGCAAAGAGGTTGAAAACTTATTAGCTCAAAGTTTTTCAGGACTTTGTTTTCAGTCAAGTGGCGTACCCAAGTATTGTCGGCTGAGCTGTTTCCGGATAAATCTTTCTGATTGTTCTTACGTTGGTGATTGTGTTTCTCGTCGAGTTGAGTATCGTAAGAGAGAAACGCATGTGTTTTTAAAATTTGTTTTTGTGGAAAGTTTGTTTTTAAATGTTTTTTTTATCATTTTCTGCACGCTTGGTTACAAAGCTGTTTGTGTGGTATCTGCTTGAAATGCCCAAAAAGCATTAATTTATGTATTTTGAGATCATGATGTACCTTTTAAATAAAAGCGTGTTGTGTGATGTGATATGAGAAATAATCGAACGCGTAGACAGTTATTGAATTGGGTTTTATCGACAATAGTTGTCTTCGAAAAATAAATAATACCCAAAAAATAAAAAACAAAATTAAAAAAAATTTTGCTAAATAATTTGATGTTTTTTTAAAACTTTTTTTCCAAGCAAGCGCTAAATGAAGCTTCCAAAATTGTTTTTCTTGAGTAAAACTAAGCTTTTCACTTTTCAAGGGAGAAATTTTCATTCATAAGACTTACTTGCTCGCTTTACTCTCTCGCAATTGGACAAAACTCAAAAAATTTTAAACATGTTTTTCTCGACACAGGGACCAATCACGTTTTTTTTTTGACCAAAAACGTTTGAAAGGGGTGTGATATGATTTATCTATCGACTCATTTCAGAAAGTATCTGTGATATTTGATTTTGTGTGGAAAGTAAAAAAAAACTAAAACTTACCCAACGACAAAGTTCTTCCCCATTTTCAGTGATCGGAACAACTATATAGCAAAAAAATGATTTTTGTTATTCGTGTTGAAACAAAAAATGTAGTTATATAAAGCCACAACAAATGTTCTCAGCTTATGTTTTGTCTATACGCTTGCTCACAAAACTAACACATAATGTGGTCAAAAATATTATTTTTAGAAATGTTTTCTTAAGCCAAGTTAACTGGTCGGTATCTTCGGTGCTACTTGCACAGCAACTGACAATTTTTGTTTTAAAGTCTTTTAAGACGCGATTTGAGCTGTGATAAGAAAATTTTCTGAAAAGTTGTTTTCTGTGGAAAGAAAGGCAGTTTGAAGTTTTCCTTCTTTTTTAGAGTCTTGGTTAAGTTCACTCTTTTGTTTACTCGTAACTGTATATCAAATAGATGAATGTTTTTACACATAAAATTATATTTGATGACCGGTTTTCGCTCCACGTACTCCTCCAAGTGACAAAAATTTAACATGAAAAACCGGAAAGTTTCGATTTAGATCTGTCTTTTCCCAATTTAGATTTTCGCGAAGATAACGGTGCGAGGAGACTCTTTGTTAGTACAAAAACCGTTTAATCTTGCTTTCACAGTTGTTTACCTCTAAGTTTTTATAGTTGACCTGCCTGAAGTTCAGCATTTAATGGAAGTTGCGGAAAGAGAGCGAATTGCAAACAAGCGACTCAAGAGTGCCTCAGTTCCTCACAAAATAGTACCTGTGGATTCACCGGCTGAAGTCGTGATTGAAAACTTGGCCTCTGCTATTAAAAGCGAAGAGTTAACCAGGGCTTCATTCAGAGCTATTTTTGCGATCACGGCTAAGAATAATGTGATACTGGATGATGCACAGAAAGGAGTTATTCTGGAGGCGGCCAAATTCCATGAAGAGGTTCCAGATATTCAGGTACTCATTGTTCGCAATCAATTTTCCGCTATTTTTCTCAAATTTTGACTCTGTTCTTTGCTTTTTGTTTTTGTTATTAATGACATTCTACTCGGCAGAAATATTGCAATGGCATCTTTTAATAATTAGTTGTACTAAAATTAAATTATTGTGTGTTCTTTTGATATTAAAGACCTTGTTTAGGATAAGTTTCTGGCGATTGCGTACAATATAATTCCAACAATCGAAGAAGAATCGGACACGTTCGCCAGTGTTTCTCTCTGTCAGCATATCCAAACAGTCATGAAGAGATATGCTGTTCATGAGAACATAATCTTCGAATGTCTACAGGTCATACTTTTGATCTCAGCTCACAGATTTGGAGCCAGGAACATCTGTAAGGCAAAGATGTTGCGAGTTCTGGCGGACTTAACTGGAAAGTACCCCGCTAATTACAAAGCGGTGCTGTGGATTATGTGGGGGGTTTTGGCCTACAAGGAGAACCAAAAGGATGCTATGAGGGAACATATAGGAGTGTGGATTTACAATCTTGCGGACACTGCTCAGGTTTTATTGAGGATTTCCATTTATGGTTGATGCTCTGGTTATACTGATGTTCAAGTCTACATTTGAGACAAATGTTATTTTTAAGCGTAATCAATGCAGTGAGTACTTGAATGTAGTTAATGGCATTTTTTTGTTTTTTTTCTTTCAGGAAGTTTTTGTGAACAGCAAAAAATGTAAAGGTCTAGAAAAACGTGATTGTTGTCTAGTTTCTAAAATGGAATTTGATTATCAGTTTACACAGCGAGATAAAAGTTTTACTTGTATCCTTTTTTCTTGAATTGGGTTAATTTTATCCAAAAACAGTCAAATAAATTGTTCGTGAAGTTCAAAGAGCTTGAACGGTGTCTTTTCTGTAGAATTTGCAAGTTACGTTTTTTTCCAGAAAAAAAAACAAATCAGTTTTTTTATCTGTTTCCTTGTGTACATTACTTTTTTTTGAACTGTGAGTCGCTCTGTTTCAAGATTCAATTCAAGACTGCTAGGTTTTTTATGATACCACTTTTGGACTCTATTAAGAGTCGATGAACGTAGTTCAGGCTCTTAGATAGGTCGTGTTGATTTTTTTCTTTTCACGAAAATTATTGAATTTTGTTCAGGCGCAAAAGTATTTTTTCGCGGTTTGACTTTTGATTTTTTTTTTCAATTTCAGTGAATTTCCTGCATTTTCTTTTTAAGAGCTTTGAGGCCATCTATTTTTTTCTTTGAAATTCGAAAGTTGAGAAATGTCCTGTGGCAGAATTTAGAACTGTCTTTGTTTATCTTTGCGGTATTTAAAGTTGGTCCAAAAAACCCTCGTTGTAGTTGTTTCCTGCTTCGTAAATTGTAAAGAAAAAATTTTTTTTTAGAAGAAGGAGGTTCTCTTGGAACCCTTCACCGCCTGCCTTTGGACACTTTCCAACTACAAACAGAATCTGGAGGACTTCAAAAAGGTATCCGGAATTGACCTACTTTTGCACATAGTGCACGACTACCAACAGGAGCCGAGAATCCTACGCAACTGCTGCATGGCACTCGCAAATGCAGTAGAGGCGGACGAAATCTGCGCTTACTCGGTGATCGCGAGCAAAATAGACGATCCCTTCATAGTGTTGCGTAATATTTACAAACCGAACCGTGATAACCCTGAGTTTGTGGAGGCTTACGCGACTCTTCTAGCTGAGTTGTCGAGTTATGATGAAATCAGGTATGAGCTGCACAGGCTCAATTTCCTGGAGTTGAGCAAAGAAATTGAGGTGTTCTACTCGGCGTCCGAGTTGATTGTAAAAACAGCCTCGAAAGCTACTGCCAATTTGGAAGCATACAAGCTAGAGGTGAAATGAACAAGCGAAGTATACTGAACCCTAACGAACCCCTTTAATTAGATTTCATGACATTAACATGAGTGTAATTTGTACATAGTGTAAAGTGTGCATTCTACTTTTCAGTTTAAAAATCTATCTTTAGGCTAAAATGAAGTTTTTCTGTTCAATAAAAAAAGAACAATTGTCATTCGCGTGCATCATTGTTGAATATTTCTCTATATTGTAAATGCTGTATATATTCTGCTGCAATTAGTAATAAATATGCAAATAGAAATGCAACACCATGTGTTGAAATAAATTGTTTAACACATCTATCTTTTCCAGTCGTCTTAATCGGAGAGTTTTTACAAAGCTCGAGTTTCCGTAAACATTTTCCCAAGTTCAGGGGCTGCTCGCATATGCTGAGTCTGAAATCAGTCACCATTTCAATTCAAGCTTTTTTGATCAGTGATTTTTGGAAATAAGAACTATGGTGCTGCTTGTTTTAACCATTTCAGATTAGTGACAGTACCCTGAAAACTAATTGGGACAATAAAACAGTAAGTAGTGACAGTTTTGTTTGTTAATACTTAATTGGCAATAAAATTTTGTCTAGAGCGGCGCATTAGTAATATTAAGCGATTTTCTAAGATACGCAATTTTAAAATGTCAATAATAAAGTGAAGACGATTTTTTATGCCATGTTTTTTTTTCACCGGAAAAATAAATTTTCTTGTGGTTTGAAATTTCTTTCAGTTTTCCAAATCGGGTTAGTTTTTTGGGTAACAGTGAACGTAATGAGTACTCTTATTTAGGTCTTGGTGATTTTTTTTCAGGAAAAAGCCTTAAAATTTGTTCAATATTTGATTTTTCGTGGTTTGATTTTTGATTTCTTTTTAAGTTCAGTTCATTTCGCTTGTTAAAAGGAAGGCAAACTACCCTATCGAACAGCAAAAGTGTGAAAGTTGCGAAAAACCTGATCGGCTTCTTATTTTGAAAATGGAATTTTATGGTCGAAATATCCAGTGCAATAAAAGTCTTACCTATTAATTCAGCTTTCTGAAATAGAGTTAGTTTCATCAAAAAAGTATCAATCATAAATTGTTCTAGAAATTCAAAAAGCGCAAAGGAGAGTCTCTTTTTTTCTCTTTAAAATTCGAAAATTAAGAGAAATAAACATTTTACTTTTTGATCTAGTTAATGTTATCGAAAAAGCTTTAATGATAAATTGTTCGTGAAATTCAAAGAGCTTTACGGGCATAAATTTTTTCGGAAGTTTCTTCAAAAGTCAGATTTTCTGTTTCCATGTCTTATATCATTTTCTCAAATGTCAGTTGGCTATGTTTAATTGTAAGTCAAACAAAGAAAATCTTGGAACTTAATTATTTTTTCGCAAAGATTCACTTCTCTTTTCGAAAATTGAAAAAATTTCCAATGAACGTTCTGTCATTTTTTGGTTCTCGTTGACAATTTTCCAACTGCAATGGCTCTGTTTTTTTTGTTTCAATCAATCAAAAACAAGAATTCATTCAGTTTCATATTTTGAGATTTGCGGTTGCGGCCCAAATTAGTAAGAAGCGCCCGAGTTTTGTCACCAAGTTGGATGAGAATATTTCTCAAATAATTTTTATTGTCTCTGTATAGTTCAGCCATATCTTTTTAGCAAGCCTTGTTCTTTTCCATCAAATTTTTGTGCTCGTTTTAATAAATTGTTACAGGAATTTGAGTTTCGAAAAATCAGTTTAACCAAAACTAAAGGAAGCGGGATTATTAATTATATCGCTGTAAGGGTTTCTAAGCGTATAGTTCCGTAAAAATAGGGTTGATTTTTCTGAGTTGTAAAATCTGACGCAAAACAAATTTGTTTTACGCAAAGCATTCTAAGTGTTTTTTAAATTGAGTTTGAACTGAATTTCTGTGGATTAAAAACACTAATAGGCCAAGTTTGTACATATTTTAGACCTATTTTTATCCGAGTATTATTAATTCATTACCCTTGCGATTAACAAGTGTATTGCAATCGGGTACTAGACTGTTTTTCCCGTAAATATCTGTTCACGAAATGGTCAAGTTAGGAAATGGTAAATCTAGGTTCTTTGATACTGCGAACACTTGCTCTAGAGGTTGCCACATCGTAGTATGGTTTTTTAAGCTGTACTTAATTTATTTTGTAGTTGTTTTAAGTGTTTTAATCTACTTTGTAGTTGTTTTAAGTGTTTTAATTTAATTCTGCTGATTGAAGTTATACAAGCATTGACTTCGTGTATTTTCTCCTTTTTGTTTTTAGAGTCGATGAACATAAAGGTCACGATAGTTTTTGTTTTCAGGAAAAGCCTTAATTTCTTCAGGCTCAAATTTATTTTTTCGCGGTTGGACGTTTGTCTTTTTAAGTTCAGTTTTTTTCCTTTGTTCATTTCCTATCGATCAGGTCACGAAAAGCTGAAAGGTCACGAAAAACTTGATGGACTTCTAGTTGTAAAGGTCACGAAAAACGTGATCGACTTCTAATTTCGAAAATGGAAAGTAATTATCAGACACTTCTAATTTCGAAAATGGAAATAATTATCAGATTTCCCAGCAAAATAAAAGTTTTACTATTGACCCAGTTTTCTCAAATCGGGTTTATTTCAACGAAAAAGTGTCCATCATAAATTGTTCCACAAATTCCAAGAGCTTTAAGGCCATCTATTTTTCTTCCTAATTGAAAAGTTCAAGATTTTGAAAAAACACGTTTTTTTTTTCAGTTTCCTTGCGTTAATTACTCTTTTCCAACTGTCAGTTGGCTATGTTCTATGAAATTCGAAAGTTTATTTTTTTCAGAAAATAAGTTACCTTTTCTGTTTGCTTGCGATCATTGACTCTTCTCCAATGTTGCTTGGTCTATGTTGCTTGGTTTTTTTTTTTCGTTCAAAAAATTTCTTAAACTGAATTGATTTCGGGTTATTTTCTATCGTTTTAGTAACCTAATTTTGAGTCTTTTCAAGGTAAACATAGTTTTTATGCTCTCCTCTGGATTGCAAAAAATGCTAGAAATTATGTATGAAAGTTTTTTTTACCATTGCGATAAGCAAGCATTTTGCAATCGGGTACTAGACTTTTCCTTCCGTAAACAACTTTGTTCACTAAGTTTTTTGTATTATAACTGAAAGTTCTGTAATTTGTAAATTTAACAAGTCTGTTTTTGCGTATTTTTCCTTTATTTAATGTTTAAACAGCTCGTTATTTCAGCTTAGTCAACTTATTATGAGTAATTTCGAGGGCAAATTATTTTCGTATATGATTGTGCTTCAGCATGGATGGGTCGTAAATGAATTTTTTTATGACAACAGATATGTTTTCGGCTCCACGGATTTCTACCCAAAAGTTGTCGCCTTTGTTGCCCTTCGATGAACAGTTTCCTATTGTTTTTGTAGCTAGAGTTTTCCAACTTTTTTAAGTTATATTTTCAAGTAATTTGTTCAACCTAATTTTTCGGAAATTTTTTTGACTTCTGTCTTTTTTCAACTGGCAAAATTTTAGCAATGTATAACGTCATTCGAAGATTTTCAAGCTCAAAACTGGCTGTTGTTTGAAACAAACATTTGAAAAATTTGGATGTTTTTTTGGCGTTTTGTCAGTTTTTTTTGGCGTTTTATCAGTTTTTTTTGGCGTTTTATCATTTTTTGGCTCTGTTTAAAATGTTTTCGGCTTCAAGGGTTTCTGTTTAGGTATTTTCGGCTTTGCTACCGCTTGGTAACTTTTATTCTGATGCTAATTTTACCTTCTTTTGTGCTGGTGTATTTATTTTGAAATTTTTATGGTGTTGTTTTTCGATTTAGTGGCTTTTCTGAAATACATCTCAAGTGGTGCGAAGTTCGGCTTCGCCTCTATGTTAAAATTTGACATTATCTACTCATTTACTAAAAGGACAATTATGCTCTTAATACCAAAAATTCAGTTTTCTCTACGTTATAGAGACATTTAGCATAGTGGTAAGGCGTTCACTTAGAGATCGTCAGATTTTGTGAGCGATCTCATGCTATGGCAATGATAGTGTGTGAGGACGTGCTCTCACTTGACCTCTAGCTTCAGGTCAACCACAGCCAGGTAGATTTTGGCTGCACTAGTACCACGAGAAAGCTCTAGACGCAAAAAAAACGACCTTGAGTTTCAAAATAAAGTTTCGCTGTACAAATTTACTCAGTCTGGAAGGTGGAAAATAGGAGAAACGGACTATGCTTAGTCAGGCTGGATAGTTTTCATAGATCCTCTGCGGATCTCAGAAACCGCTGTTATTATTATCATTATTACTTTTCTAGTTAATAAGAACTCTAATTGACAGTATGTCAATATTCGCTTTAATTTCTGAAGGTTAATTTGTTCGTTCATCCTTCGAATAAGTGCAGCTGTTACAAGTTTTCATTCTTCTAGTATATGAAGAAGGAATGAAGAAAGAAAATCATTAATTTGAGAAAGAAAATTTTTTCTCTTAAATTATTTTTAGATTTGTTTTATAAGTTTTTAAAACTCTTTTGACATGACCGGGTTAATTGGTCTTGACCTGTAAGTTTAATGGCCTTCATTGTGTCTTTTTTATGTAGGGGAGTGTAGTTCGCTAGTTTGAGTTTATCCGGGAAAACAATTTTTTTGTCTTATTGGTTAAAAAGTTAAATTTGGTTTTGATGGAATACAAATTGGTATCGATGAAATTTATAAATAGTTATCTCAATTCATTTCGATTTAAATGGGTTCTATGATGGTTAATATCTACATTTTTGGTTATTACATTTTTTAACAGTTGATGAACATCGTTCAGACTCTTGCATATGTCGTGATGATTTCTTGTTCTTTTTACTTTGTCTTTATGCTCAAGCTTACTTTATTTAATTATTTTGCAAATTTCCCAGCGGAATAAAAAATTTACCAATAGATTGGGTTAATTTATCAAAAAAGTGTCAGTCATAAATTTTTCTAAAAATTCGTAAAGCTTTAACGGTTTTTTGGAACCTAGAAAAATGAAATTTTTTCAAACAAGTCAGTATTCTTTTTGATTCGTTCATCGCGCTCATAAAATAAGTCTGTTTTTTGCGCTCAAAATTTTGCGTTCATTGCGCTCAAAAAGCAAGTCAGTATTTTTTCTGATTGCGTTCATTGCGCTCTTTTCCAACGATCTCTTGGCTATGTTTGAACTTGAGACGGGTGTTTTTGACATTTTGTGAATATTATCGAAAATTACCCTGCCAAATCTCAGACTAGTGTTTCAATCGAAATACCAGGTTTTGGACTTCATCGCTGCATAATCCGGTTCGCTTTATTTTCCGTAGAAAAAGTTATCGCCTTCGAAAAAAACCAATTTCCTAAATTTTTAGTTAATGCAAACTTTTTCTATTTTCCCTCGAAGACTAACCTGCGAAATATGACATTGAGTTCAATTAAAAGAAAGGGTAGTATGAATCTCTCATATATAAGTGCCTTTTATCCTTTTTTTAATAATATTTTTTATTATCCGCTTTTTGATAAATCGCTTTAGTTTTTTATGGGCAGGGTGTGGAATGACTCCTTTCTTGCAATAGTAGCCGGCTGATGTGCTAGTAGCACAGGATAATCCGAGTCATTGTCTAACAGAAGTGATAATCTCAGAGTCAATATGTTATTTCAAGTGACCAATTCCACTGTGATCCAAATTCATTGATAAATTTGAATGCTTTATCAAAAATTTATTGACAACAAAAAATGGTTTTGCCAATAACGGATAATGACGTTTTAAAAATCTAGCAATAGCCAGCAGACTGTTGGAACCGTGCCAATGAAATCAAGAGGACAAAAAGGAGACTGCTATTTTTGGAAATTTTCAATATTTCACGACAAACACTTTTTGTAAATATTATTTACCTAATTCAAGAAAAATGGAACAATCCATAAATCCGATAGCAAAATTTTCTCCTTTTTTGCTAAACTGCTTATTTGGTATAGTTTAGTAAAGTGCCAATTGAATTAATTGAAAAGGAGCAAAAATGAGAGATTATAATAGCTGAAACGGTTTACAGTCGCAGTATAATTAATTCAGTTTCATTGGGTCATTGGTAATTTTGGTATCATTTAGTCTTAAGAACGGAAACAATTAGACCACTTTTGTCAAAACAGACAGCTTGTTTGAAATCTTTGTTTTTGGGAATCCGAATCACAGCTGAAAGGGCTTTATTATTTGACTCTTTTTTGAGCTTTCTTTACTTAGTCAAGATCCCTCGGGAAAAAATCTATGCCATAGCGCCTTTCTACTTCGTGGTCGGAACAATGAAACGTTTCAACGTATATAAGCTATTATACGTAATTATTGAAGATTAATTTGAACCCTTGTCAAATCAGTACTGCTAATCATAAAAGAACGATCCGGAAATCTGGAAAAAAATGTTTACCGCTGAAGTTCTTATCAAGTTTATATTTAGAGTGGTCGGAACATTCTGTGCTACTTACACAGCAACCGGCAACACCCTTCGTATTTTGATACTTAAATCAAGTAAATCGTTTACGCTCCTCAAATTTCAATGCTGACTAATGTTGTGGTGGGGTTTCTTTCATTGTTCCATCAAGAAAAGATTGATTGTGAACTCGAGGATGTTTTTTTTTCAGGTTGTAATTATGTATTTAGCTGTAGAAATAGCTTAGCTTCCCGTCTGCTTCATCATTAAGCTCAAGGTCACAGACAATATGCAGTTTGACATTCGAAGGTTTGAGATTTTTTGAAAGTTTTCCCCAATTTGTTATGCAAAGTTTGGCTAAGTTGATGTTTTTTTGCAGGTTCGATATCTACCGCAAGGTTCCGAAAGATCTAACGCAGCCAACATACATTGGAGCATGCATATCTGTATCGAGCATGGCGCTCATAGCTTTCCTGTTCACATCAGAACTCATAGCCTTCCTTAGTCCAGAAATGTTAGTCATTTGTGACTTGAACTTTCACTTTCTTTTTTTAAAATGTTCTTCTATCCTATATTCAATTTTTCTTGCTTTGAACCTAACTAATTCTAAATATTTTTTTTTGCAGATATTTCGAATTATCTTCTTAAGCAGCTATTGTGATGCTAAACTTTATTCTCAACTGTTTATGAAATATCATCGTACGCTTGATTTCGAAGTTTTCTTTCTAGAGAGAGCGTCCTGTACGTAGACGATCCTGGAGAACAGGAGCAGATCCCAGTCTTCTTAGACATATCTCTACCAGAACTGCACTGTGACGGTCAGTCTAGCGTTTCTCAGGGGCGGTCTTACTTGGGGGTGGGGTGAGTACTCACCACCCAAAGCGCATTTAGCGGCAATTTATACAAGTTTGAGGGGAAGCCTGTGCCAAAAATACGCCATTTTTTGGTCAAAACCTTCGCAAAAGGTGCCCAAAAATAGCTTTTTTACAATAATTAATCTTGTCTATGGAAGCTTCATCAACCCTATCGTCGTTGATTGCTTTACGTTGAACTTCCCATTTGATTGAGGTTTTTCTGTGTTCCAGTTCTGGGCATAGACATCCAGGACGAAATGGGCAGACATGAAGTAGGCAACTTCGAGAACATGAAGAAACTCAAGTTGGGTCCAGATGGAAGAGGGTGTAGATTAGAGGCCTCGTTCAAGATCAACAAAGTTTCTGGTAATTTCCACGTGTCAACACATGCGAGGAGCCAACAGGCAGGCAAGAATGTTAACTTCAAACACCAGCTGCACAACCTCATCTTTGGAGAGTCAATACTTTCTAATGTAAGATTTTATTTAATTTTTGTCGAGCCCAAATTGTCTCGTTTTGATGGTAACCTATTATATATAACTTGAATTTTCTTGGTCTTTATATTATAATTTTGCAGATTTATGATGTTTTTTCTTTAAATTTCAAAATGATGGCATGAGCACAGACGAGATCAGAATTGTCAAATATTTGTCTTTCTAAATCATTGGGCTTATTAAATCAGCTTAGAGAAGACGATACAAATAAGTTAATTAGTGAATTTCCATTTCTTGCTCCCATCATGAAGTGGAAAACAATAAAGGCCTTCGATGGTGTCGAATAGTGTATCCTATGAAAGCGCTATTAGTCGATCAATGTTCTAAAAAATTTGAAAAAGGTTTCTCGTTGTCGAGAAGTATGGGTTTGAGTTTTCGTTTCACTTCGATGATTCTGTATTTTAAAGAGACCAAAAATTGTATGTTATACGTTTTTAAGGCCATTATAGTATAGTTCTTGAATCTCACGTTAGCGCCTTCATGTCTTCGTGAATTTTATTTTTAATTTCAAAGATAACTGTGATGGTATCTTTTTACTTCCAGCTCAGCAATCGGCGATGATTGTTTAGATCTCGAAGCATTACGGGCTCAAAGACACTTCTTTTACGCCATTAAATGGACTGGATCATACAAAAGGGACTTTTTCAGGTAATTCTTGCAGTGTTACTAAGTCTATTTAATTTAAACAGCAACATGTAATGTTTCTAGGTTATACTAGAATACAATAACAGGAAACCATTTTAGTATGTTTGTTATTTAGGGAAGGAGACTTTCGAATACCACTTGAAGATTGTGCCAACAGTGTATTCACATGGACAGGGAACTAACAGCGAATTGCATGGGTACCAGTTCACAGCACTCAAAAAGGTTTAAAAAAGCTTCTCATCTTACAGTTGAGATAATTATTCTTCTAAAACTGTATTTTAAAGATTTTGGCACCGAAGTATTGTAAGAGAGGCGGATGTGGTTTACACAGCTCTCCTCTGAAATTTTCGCGACATGTTTCAAAATAAAAACAACGTTATGATACAGCTGTTATGTCTACAATTTTACGCTATAGTTTCAAGGCATTTTTTCTAGATCTTCGAGACAAATGCGCACGGGATGCGGATAATGCCAGCCATCTGGTTCAAGTACCAACTCACACCCATCACAGTCAAGTACGCCCTCAGAGCCAAGCCATTCTACCACTTTCTAACCACCGTCTGTGCAATAGTGGGAGGCACATTCACAGTAGCAGGCATCATTGACTCATGTTTGTTCACGGCACATGAGGTGTTCAAGAAGATAGAGATGGGAAAATTGAGTTGAAAACATGACCTGCCTTGAGATCAGTCGAAGAAATGGATAATCGTATTTAATTGTGAATTATACGATCTGTTCACAAAAAAAACGTTGAATGGAGTGACAAAGTTTTACGAGCAGTTGACTTTTTATGAAAACCAGATATAATGAACCGCTTGTGAAAAAAAAACTATTTGAAAATGAATTTTTGAAAAAATGAACCGCTTTTGAGAAAAAAAAGTTACACATAAATACAAATTAAGCCAATTGAATTGAGATTTATGAAGTATAAATTTAGAAATTGATTAATTATCATGGTTTTGTGGTTGATATTATTTGTAAATGTTGCTTCCAGCCCTTATGATTTTGTGTTTCATCATTGTACTGTATTCCTTAATTATTCCGTAGCCAGCATAGTAATCAACTATGCAATTTTACCATCCGTGTGCCTTGCGAAGTAAGTAATTGTAATTTGTATGTATATTAATGTGTATATTAATTGGTTCCTAAAACGGTTTACGTTCGTTGATCTTTGCAAGTAACAATTTTGTTCAATTTAAGTTCTGAAAAAATTTTAAACAAATTTTAAATTTTTCAAAAGATTTGCTTCAGGCTGGCAAAACCATTAATTGCATTTCAGAGAAAATGTTATCATCAGTTTTGCAGTTGCTTCATTGAAATAAAAGAGAACAAGAAATGAAAAGAGCGACGCACACTTTAAATTTGTTCGTAAGGCGGTCAAGTAGTCTGCCCATAGTTAAATCACAGCCCACATCGACACGATATCTGAGTTGGCCAATCAGAGTGTCTGTGTTACTCACCAGGTATATTATTATGAACTCTTTAATATCAAGACTTTAATGAGATACTGCAGAAATGTTGTACTATCATTTCAATATCAGCTGTGCAGTTTTTTAAAGTAATAAAATGAGTCGTGTTTCAGGTGGACTGTTGTTTTGGATACAGGTGATACTGTTATGATCGTTCTTCACTAAATTGAAGTTCCGAGATCTCCGTAATCATAGCAAAGACCCTATTTCGACCAAATTTTCAGCGCAAATTTTCGAAAAACAGGCAAAATAAGTTTTCAGGTGTTTTTTTTTAAGTTTTGACCAAAAAATCACGTTTTGAACTCTGATTGGCAAAGATAACTGGGCCAATCGGCTTTTCTGGCACGAGGGATTCCCCCATACTAATTTGTTAAATAAACAAGTTTTTAAAAAACGATATTTGTTTTTGATTGGTTAAAACTTGTTAGCGTTGCAAAATTTAAAACTTTGCGTATCAAAATTTTGATTATGTTAAATGATAGGTTTCCGCGTATCTCGAGTGAAGTGAGTGATCTGCAGGAGAGATTTCAAATATACAGGAATGAGATGGAAATAGAGAAGAGCAAACTGGCAGACCACGAATTAGCACTCAAACAGAAAAGGTACAATTTCTCACTATATTCATGTGTTCATGAGTAAGACCATTTTTCTATCGCGAAAAGGACCATTATACGAGCTGTTCAGCTTATCACGGAGAACTGTAATAAGTGTTCTTGCTGAAGAATTAGATGCAATTTGTGGTCATAGTTGGCCTCAAACTACCAACCGCTCGGCTGAGAAGCAGAGACAGTACCCACTTCCACATCACCCCCTGTTTTTTCCATGAAATTGATTGGCTGAATGTAGAAATATTAGAATTGTAGGAAGTTTGACGCAAAACACTTCTGACTTTGAATTGTTTTGCGGGACTTGCTAATGCCCGATTGATTGATAAATTATACAAGACTGCTCGTATCAGGGCGAAGCCCTGAATGTTCCGACTGCCTTTTAAGGATTATTGAGCAGTAATATCATTAAAAAATTCAATGAAATAAAACAATTTTTTTTTCTTCTAAAATGTGAAATTTTTTAATGAAAATCATCCCCCCACACGCCATATAAAGTACAAAAGGATAGATTTCGCTCCTTGTAACAAACCAATTATGGCAATTAAGCTTCTTTCAACCAAGTTGGAACTATTTCTAAGATGGATTAACTCTCCGCTTACGCGTTAATAGCGCGAAATATATCGCGCGTTAATTGTCCCAAATTGGCCAAAATGGCAATCTTTAAACCCCTGTAACTTCACGAAAAATGATCACAGGTGAAATATCTTTTCAAATTTGAGCTCAGTACAACAATACCTTTCGAATGATCTAAAAAACTTCCGTCAAAAATGGCTAGTTAAAAAGTCGAAATTTGTCTGAAGAAAAAAAAAACCCACCCCGAGCACAAATATTCCGTTGCTTTGGTATCGAAAGTCGGAACAAAAATCAATACTCTCTTGTTGACTCTGGGGAATACCGAATAGTGAAGAATTTAAATCAGATATAGTTAAGCATGTTTGGCTCCAATTTCTGATCTTGTTGTGTACGAGACTACATCTGTTATCCTTTGGGTCGTCTGATTGTTTTCATACTTGACCAAATTAAATTACTATTTTGTTCATTTTAGTAGCGCCAAGAACATAGTCACAGCCAGAGATTTCGAAATTGCCCAAAAGCAAAAGTTTGACATATTCAAACCAGCAAGTCGAACTACGGACGAAGAAAGCGATCCGAAATCACTGAACAAAAAACTATCTCAGAAACTTGTCCTGGCGATAAAAGATGAAACGTGCTCGGAGAACCAGTATATTCTGCCAAGTACTAATTTACAAGAAGGGGAGAGCTTACGAATAGCTGCCGAAAGATGTTTGATACAAAATTGTGGAACTTCAATTAGAGCAAGATTTTGGAGCAACGCCCCAAATGCGATTGTTAAAAGAAATCTTTCAAAGAATGCGAGAGAAAAACTTCAACTGAACAGTGATGTAACAGGCGTGAACGAATTTATTTTCCTCGTGAATTATGAAACTCATTTTGAAAGTGCAAATGATATGTTCGCCTGGATTACGAAAGGCGAACTGAATAACTATTTTAGAAACAGAAAACTTTGTAGTGTTATATCCGATTTGATGTATGAGTTTTGATTATCTGTTCGAATTTTATTTTTCTTTATCTATTTTGAAGACTCTTCTAACATTTGAAGAAGCTTTTTTTATTCAACAAGCATTACTTTTAGTCACTAAGTTGTAAGCCGATAACAGCAAGAGCAGTGCTGACTGCTAAGCTGTATACATTGTTGTTTTCGTCAGCGTGTTTTTGTCTAAACATCTGAGGCTTTCCATAAGTCTGATTTGTCACCGTGTGAAGTCTAAAACATTGTTAGTGATTTATTATTTCGAAACTTTCTTAGTAAAAATTATTTGGATAACTTCTGTCGTAAATGATTAAGAGTCGATAAACGTGGCGAAGACTCTTATGTAGGTCGTGATTATTTTTGCGAATTGGCTGTATTAGTACGAACTTTCTTTTTCCCCCAACCTAAGTCGCAGATAAAAGTGCTACTTTGGTGCATTTTTGAATCGGTAGACTGTGGTAACAGTATAATGTCATATGTTCTTTAATATTTGATAAGTTAAAGTTAACACAGTTGATGCATTTTTAATTCATCAAATGAACCGAAAAAAGTTTATTGTTTTAAATAGCAGTACAATGATACAAAGGCTCGATTTCAAAAATTTTCCAACTGAATTTACCTCGCAAACTTTTTTGAAATGCATAATTTATACATAATTTGGCTTTATGCTTTCCAATTTATTACTTGCAAAATTGTGTCTTTTGCATTTGGTGCCCCTTTTACGGTATCAAATTGGCAATTCATTAGCATGCGTAGCTGTAGCTTGGTTATTAGTGGCTAATTTTGTGGAATTAAAGCATCTGTGGCTGGGTAGACTCAATGTTGCAAGGTCGCAAATTCGAATCTTACACGTAGCCGAGTTCTTAATAATTCGATGCTTATTTCTACTTTTTCTTATTTCACTTACTAGAGCTGCTTTTTGGTGTGTTCTCGCAAGTGTTTGCGAAGCACAGCTTCGTCTCTGTAAATTTTGTCTGGAATTTGTTTCCGCTCAAAGTTGACTTTTCATGATTTGACTTGATTTCTTTTTCAATTCAGCTTATTTATTTTTGTTTAAAGGAAGGCAAAATCCACTATCGAACAGTAAAGGTACCCAAAAACGTGAACGACATTTAATTTTATAAGATAATTTATCAACGAGGGAAAGGACCAAAATACGAACTGTACAGCTCATCACAGCTGCTGTTGTGCCCCTGCTTAAGAACAACATGCAATTTTTTAATTATTTTTTTGGGCTGGGTAATGTTGCTTCACCCTCAAGCAACAAGCACGGATCTTGGTGGGCCTCGAAAGTGGATTTTTATGTTCAGATTTTCTAGCAGAAAAAAATTTTGATCCAGTTTTCTCTCACTGATTTTTATCAACAAAGTGTCAATCATTAAAAGTTCCTGAAATTCAAAGAACTTTAATTCAAGATATTTTTACTCTGAAATTCGAAAGTTGAAGTTTTATTTTCAAAGAATTAAGTACGCTTCTTTGCATTCATTGACTTTGTTCCTACTGTTTTTTGGCTATGTTAGACAAAAAGTAATCAAAACTTCCAAAACTTGATTGGAAAACAATTAAATTAGAAGCTTTTGAAAAAATAGCGAGCCGCTATTGTCTTAGGTCCACCGTACAATATGCTCGCGATTATTGTTCCGACGACTTTCGATACGAAAGTAACGGAATATTTGTGCTCGGGGTGGGTTTTTTTTCTTCAGACAAATTTCGACTTTTTAACTAGCCATTTTTGACGGAATTTTTTTATATCATTCGAAAGCTATTGTTGTCTTGAGCTTAAATTTGAAAAGATATTTCACCTGTGACCATTTTTCGTAAAGTTATGAGGGTTTAAAGATTGCCATTTGCCATTTTGACCAATTTGGGACAATTAACGCGAGATATAATTCGCGCTATTAACGCGTAATAAGCGGAGATTTAATCCGTCTTAGAAATCGTTCCAAATTGGTTGAAAGAAGCTTATTTGCCATAATTGATTTGATACAAGGAGCGAAATCTATTGTTTTGTACTTTATACGGCGTGTGGGGGGATGATTTTCATAGAAAAATTTTCAAATTTTATAAAACACGTTTTTCATAATATTTTATTTCATTTAATTTTTTTATGCTGTTATGTTATTACTGCTCCATAAACGTTAATAGGCAGTCGGAACTTTCAGGGCTTCGCCCTGATACGAGCAGTCTTGTTTGTGTTGTATTCGAAACACTCTCCCTTTAAAGAAGCTTAAAGCTATTAGATATTTATTGCACAAACAAACGCATACTTCAAACTACGAATCATTTCTTTCTCCGAACTAACTGAAAAATTAGAGCTCAAAGAATTGCTGTTGAGATTCAGAATATGTACTGCTCAGATGTATTCGCCAATTTAATAGCATGTATTTCAACCGCTTTCTTGTTGGCTGTTTTTCAGAGTTTAAGGTGATTTGGTTCAGTAATGAAAATAAGACTCTGTGGGTTGGCAGATTAAATTCCGTTGGAAGGAAATTCATTGTTTTTCAAAGCTTTCATTATTTCTATACTTCTGCATTTGAAAGTTCAAGGTTGCTATTTTTTGTTGAGGTTTGCCAATTGCAACAGCCTCTGTGTAATTTGATTAAGGTACATATTAAGTTTCTGTATTTCAGTATTATTGTTGTTCGGAATATTAGAAATTGAGAACAAACATGCTAATGTAATGGGTATTTTTGCAGAATTTCTTGCTACAAGCAAGATATCAGCAGCGGTTTTCTCGATTTTGCATTAGTTTCATAATATTTTTTTCTATTTCATGGATTCTATCCAATCGAATATCAACAAAAAATTTCTCAAATTTTTGATTGTTTTAAAAAATTAAATTAGGGTTTCCAACAATCTGTTAGATGTTCTCAAAAAGCAAACGGTTGCAAAGATTTCAACAAAAAAAAACAAATAAATTGTAGAAAAAATATATCATTAAAAAAATCACTTCTTTTATCTTTTTATCTGCTAAATCTTTCATCCGTTCCGAAATGTCAAGTACAAAATGCTTAATTTCTCAGTTAGTAACAGATTATTTTTTGGTTTATGAACTGATTTCTGAGCCGTTTTAACCCAAAGCATACGCTATGAGTAAAAGAAAACTGGAAACAATGCGCGCATCAATTACGCAAAATTGGCATTTTTCAAACCCTCTTAACTTGCAAAAAACAGTTCCAGAAAAATTCGTCTCAGTTTTTAATTGGGAGTATTTCCAAGAATGGTCATGTTAAGGCAAAACGATGAAATTTTTGAATTTTTTCTTAGATAACAATTAACGACGTTAATTTTTTTTTGTAAAAAATGTGGACCCCCAAATTGGAACGTTCTGCACCCAAGCTATATCGAAGACCAAGTCATGTAATTATAATTTTCTTCTTATCATGATCCAATTTAACCATTAAGTTGGCCTCAACTTATGTTAGAACAATTTTGATCGCAGAACAAGACTGCTCGCATCAAGGCTTCGATGCGAGCAGTCTTGTTCTGCGATCAAACTTTTTGTCTGCCCTGACTCTTCTGTCTGCCCTATAAGGTCGATGGAAAAGTGTTTGCTTTGCAAAACATTGATGAATCATTCATAAAAGAATTATTTTTTTTCTATTTTTTTTGCGACAGTTATCACTTATGATTAGGGCAGAGAAATACATTTAGCATATATCAAAGTTTAAAATAGATCAAATTGCATGTCTTAATTCAGTTTGAAACGATTTCGAAGATGGATTAAACTCAGCTTACGCTTTAAGGAACACAAAATATATCAAGCGCAAATTGACCAAACTCGCATTATTCAAACTCCCATAACTTTATGACAAATGAACATAGTGAAACATCTTTATAAATTTGAGCTCAGGGGATTATACGATCTGTTCACAAAAAAAAAACGTTGAATGGAGTGACAAAGTTTTACGAGCAGTTGACTTTTTATGAAAACCAGATATAATGAACCGCTTGTGAAAAAAAACTATTTGAAAAATGAATTTTTGAAAAAATGAACCGCTTTTGAGAAAAAAAAGTTTTACATAAATACAAATTAAGCCAATTGAATTGAGATTTATGAAGTATAAATTTAGAAATTTATTAATTATCATGGTTTTGTGGTTGATATTATTTGTAAATGTTGCTTCCAGCCCTTATGATTTTGTGTTTCATCATTGTACTGTATTCCTTAATTATTCCGTAGCCAGCATAGTAATCAACTATGCAATTTTACCATCCGTGTGCCTTGCGAAGTAAGTAATTGTAATTTGTATGTATATTAATGTGTATATTAATTGGTTCCTAAAACGGTTTACGTTCGTTGATCTTTGCAAGTAACAATTTTGTTCAATTTAAGTTCTGAAAAAATTTTAAACAAATTTTAAATTTTTCAAAAGATTTGCTTCAGGCTGGCAAAACCATTAATTGCATTTCAGAGAAAATGTTATCATCAGTTTTGCAGTTGCTTCATTGAAATAAAAGAGAACAAGAAATGAAAAGAGCGACGCACACTTTAAATTTGTTCGTAAGGCGGTCAAGTAGTCTGCCCATAGTTAAATCACAGCCCACATCGACACGATATCTGAGTTGGCCAATCAGAGTGTCTGTGTTACTCACCAGGTATATTATTATGAACTCTTTAATATCAAGACTTTAATGAGATACTGCAGAAATGTTGTACTATCATTTCAATATCAGCTGTGCAGTTTTTTAAAGTAATAAAATGAGTCGTGTTTCAGGTGGGCTGTTGTTTTGGATACAGGTGATACTGTTATGATCGTTCTTCACTAAATTGAAGTTCCGAGATCTCCGTAATCATAGCAAAGACCCTATTTCGACCAAATTTTCAGCGCAAATTTTCGAAAAACAGGCAAAATAAGTTTTCAGGTGTTTTTTTTTTAAGTTTTGACCAAAAAATCACGTTTTGAACTCTGATTGGCAAAGATAACTGGGCCAATCGGCTTTTCTGGCACGAGGGATTCCCCCATACTAATTTGTTAAATAAACAAGTTTTTAAAAAACGATATTTGTTTTTGATTGGTTAAAACTTGTTAGCGTTGCAAAATTTAAAACTTTGCGTATCAAAATTTTGATTATGTTAAATGATAGGTTTCCGCGTATCTCGAGTGAAGTGAGTGATCTGCAGGAGAGATTTCAAATATACAGGAATGAGATGGAAATAGAGAAGAGCAAACTGGCAGACCACGAATTAGCACTCAAACAGAAAAGGTACAATTTCTCACTATATTCATGTGTTCATGAGTAAGACCATTTTTCTATCGCGAAAAGGACCATTATACGAGCTGTTCAGCTTATCACGGAGAACTGTAATAAGTGTTCTTGCTGAAGAATTAGATGCAATTTGTGGTCATAGTTGGCCTCAAACTACCAACCGCTCGGCTGAGAAGCAGAGACAGTACCCACTTCCACATCACCCCCTGTTTTTTCCATGAAATTGATTGGCTGAATGTAGAAATATTAGAATTGTAGGAAGTTTGACGCAAAACACTTCTGACTTTGAATTGTTTTGCGGGACTTGCTAATGCCCGATTGATTGATAAATTATAAAATCAATACTCTCTTGTTAACTCTGGGGAATACCGAATAGTGAAAAATTTAAATCAGATATAGTTAAGCATGTTTGGCTCCAATTTCTGATCTTGTTGTGTACGATACTACATCTGTTATCCTTTGGGTCGTCTGATTGTTTTCATACTTGACCAAATTAAATTACTATTTTGTTCATTTTAGTAGCGCCAAGAACATAGTCACAGCCAGAGATTTCGAAATTGCCCAAAAGCAAAAGTTTGACATATTCAAACCAGCAAGTCGAACTACGGACGAAGAAAATGACCCGAAATCACTGAACAAAAAACTATCTCAGAAACTTGTCCTGGCAATAAAAGATGAAACGTGCTCGGAGAAGCAGTATATTCTGCCAAGTACTAATTTACAAGAAGGGGAGAGCTAACGAATAGCTGCCGAAAGATGTTTAATACAAAATTGTGGAACTTCAATTAGAGCGAGATTTTGGAGCAACGCCCCAAATGCGATTGTTAAAAGAAATCTTTCAAAGAATGCGAGAGAAAAACTTCAACTGAACAGTGATGTAACAGGCGTGAACGAATTTATTTTCCTCGTAAATTATGAAACTCATTTTGAAAGTGCAAATGATATGTTCGCCTGGATTACGAAAGACGAACTGAATAACTATTTTAGAAACAGAAAACTTTGTAGTGTTATATCCGATTTGATGTATGAGTTTTGATTATCTGTTCGAATTTTATTTTTCTTTCTCTTTTTTGAAGACTCTTCTAACATTTGAAGAAGCTTTTTTTATTCAACAAGCATTACTTTTAGTCACTAAGTTGTAAGCCGATAACAGCAAGAGCAGTGCTGACTGCTAAGCTGTCTACATTGTTGTTTTCGTCAGCGTGTTTTTGTCTAAACATCTGAGGCTTTCCATAAGTCTGATTTGTCACCGTGTGAAGTCTAAAACATTGTTAGTGATTTATTATTTCGAAACTTTCTTAGTAAAAATTATTTGGATAACTTCTGTCGTACTTGGATAACTTCTGGATATCTGAATTTCTGTCGTACTTTCTTAAATTTTTTTGTTCGGATTGAAAAATGGCGATGTAGAAATCATTCAAAAATGATTAAGAGTCGATAAACGTGGCGAAGACTCTTATGTAGGTCGTGATTATTTTTGCGAATTGACTGTATTAGTACGAACTTTCTTTTTCCCCCAACCTAAGTCGCAGATAAAAGTGCTACTTTGGTGGCATTTTTGAATCGGTAGACTGCGGTAACAGTATAATGTCATATGTTCTTTAATATTTGATAAGTTAAAGTTAACACAGTTGATGCATTTTTAATTCATCAAATGAACCGAAAAAAGTTAATTGTTTTAAATAGCAGTACAATGATACAAAGGCTCGATTTCAAAAATTTTCCAACTGAATTTACCTCGCAAACTTTTTTGAAATGCATAATTTATACATAATTTGGCTTTATGCTTTCCAATTTATTACATGCAAAATTGTGTCTTTTGCATTTGGTGCCCCTTTTACGGTATCAAATTGGCAATTCATTAGCATGTGTAGCTGTAGCTTGGTTATTAGTGGCTAGTTTTGTGGAATTAAAGCATCTGTGGCTGGGTAGACTCAATGTTGCAAGGTCGCAGATTGGAATCTTACACGTAGCCGAGTTCTTAATAATTCGATGCTTATTTCTACTTTTTCTTATTTCACTTACTAGAGCTGCTTTTTGGTGTGTTCTCGCAAGTGTTTGCGAAGCACAGCTTCGTCTCTGTAAATTTTGTCTGGAATTTGTTTCCGCTCAAAGTTGACTTTTCATGATTTGACTTGATTTCTTTTTCAATTCAGCTTATTTATTTTGTTTAAAGGAAGGCAAAATCCACTATCGAACAGTAAAGGTACCCAAAAACGTGAACGACATTTAATTTTATAAGATAATTTATCAACGAGGGAAAGGACCAAAGTACGAACTGTACAGCTCATCACAGCTGCTGTTGTGCCCCTGCTTAAGAACAACATGCAATTTTTTAATTATTTTTTTGGGCTGGGTAATGTTGCTTCACCCTCAAGCAACAAGCACGGATCATGGTGGGCCTTGAAACTGGATTTTTATTTTCAGATTTTCCAGCAGAAAAAAAATTTTGATCCAGTTTTCTCTCACTGATTTTTATCAACAAAGTGTCAATCATTAAAAGTTCCTGAAATTCAAAGAACTTTAATTCAAGATGTTTTTACTCTAAAATTCGAAAGTTGAAGTTTTATTTTCAAAGAATTAAGTACGCTTCTTTGCATTCATTGACTTTGTTCCAACTGTTTGTTGGCTATGTTAGACAAAAAGTAATCAAAACTTCCAAAACTTGATTGGAAAACAATTAAATTAGAAGTTTTTGAAAAAATAGCGAGCCGCTATTGTCTTAGGTCCACCGTACAATATGCTCGCGATTGTTGTTCCGACTTTCGATACGAAAGTAACGGAATATTTGTGCTCGGGGTGGTTTTTTTTTCTTCAGACAAATTTCGACTTTTTAACTAGCCATTTTTGACGGAGTTTTTTTTATATCATTCGAAAGCTATTGTTGTCTTGAGCTTAAATTTGAAAAGATATTTCACCTGTGACCATTTTTCGTAAAGTTATGAGGGTTTAAAGATTGCCATTTGCCATTTCGACCAATTTGGGACAATTAACGCGAGATATAATTCGCGCTATTAACGCGTAATAAGCGGAGATTTAATCCGTCTTAGAAATCGTTCCAAATTGGTTGAAAGAAGCTTATTTGCCATAATTGATTTGATACACGGAGCGAAATCTATTGTTTTGTACTTTATACGGCGTGTGGGGGGATGATTTTCATAGAAAAATTTTCAAATTTTAGAAAACACGTTTTTCATAATATTTTATTTCATTTAATTTTTTTATGCTGTTATGTTATTACTGCTCCATAAACGTTAATAGGCAGTCGGAACTTTCAGGGCTTCGCCCTGATACGAGCAGTCTTGTTTGTGTTGTAATCGAAACACTCTCCCTTTAAAGAAGCTTAAAGCTATTAGATATTTATTGCACAAACAAACGCATACTTCAAACTACGAATCATTTCTTTCTCCGAACTAACTGAAAAATTAGAGCTCAAAGAATTGCTGTTGAGATTCAGAATATGTACTGCTCAGATGTATTCGCCAATTTAATAGCATGTATTTCAACCGCTTTCTTGTTGGCTGTTTTTCAGAGTTTAAGGTGATTTGGTTCAGTAATGAAAATAAGACTCTGTGGGTTGGCAGATTAAATTCCGTTGGAAGGAAATTCATTGTTTTTCAAAGCTTTCATTATTTCTATACTTCTGCATTTGAAAGGTCAAGGTTGCTATTTTTTGTTGAGGTTTGCCAATTGCAACAGCCTCTGTGTAATTTGATTAAGGTACATATTAAGTTTCTGTATTTCAGTATTATTGTTGTTCGGAATATTAGAAATTGAGAACAAACATGCTAATGTAATGGGTATTTTTGCAGAATTTCTTGCTACAAGCAAGATATCAGCAGCGGTTTTCTCGATTTTGCATTAGTTTCATAATATTTTTTTCTATTTCATGGATTCTATCCAATCGAATATCAACAAAAAATTTCTCAATTTTTTGATTGTTTTAAAAAATTAAATTAGGGTTTCCAACAATCTGTTAGATGTTCTCAAAAAGCAAATGGTTGCAAAGATTTCAACAAAAAAAAACAAATAAATTGTAGAAAAAATATATCATTAAAAAAATCACTTCTTTTATCTTTTTATCTTCTGCTAAATCTTTCATCCGTTCCGAAATGTCAAGTACAAAATGCTTAATTTCTCAGTTAGTAACAGATTGTTTTTTGGTTTATGAACTGATTTCTGAGCCGTTTCAACCCAAAGCATACGCTATGAGTAAAAGAAAACTGGAAACAATGCGCGCATCAATTACGCAAAATTGGCATTTTTCAAACCCTCTTAACTTGCAAAAAACAGTTCCAGAAAAGTTCGTCTCAGTTTTTAATTGGGAGTATTTCCAAGAATGGTCATGTTAAGGCAAAACGATGAAATTTTTGAATGTTTTCTTAGATAACAATTAACGACGTTAATTTTTTTTTGTAAAAGTTGTGGAGCCCCAAGTTGGAACGTTCTGCACCCAAGCCATATCGAAGACCAAGTCATGTAATTATAATTTTCTTCTTATCATGATCCAATTTAACCATTAAGTTGGCCTCAACTTATGTTAGAACAATTTTGATCGCAGAACAAGACTGCTCGCATCAAGGCTTCGATGCGAGCAGTCTTGTTCTGCGATCAAACTTTTTGTCTGCCCTGACTCTTCTGTCTGCCCTATAAGGTCGATGGAAAAGTGTTTGCTTTGCAAAACATTGATGAATCATTCATAAAAGAATTATTTTTTTTCTATTTTTTTTGCGACAGTTATCACTTATGATTAGGGCAGAGAAATACATTTAGCATATATCAAAGTTTAAAATAGATCAAATTGCATGTCTTAATTCAGTTTGAAACGATTTCGAAGATGGATTAAACTCAGCTTACGCTTTAAGGAACACAAAATATATCAAGCGCAAATTGACCAAACTCGCATTATTCAAACTCCCATAACTTTATGACAAATGAACATAGTGAAACATCTTTATAAATTTGAGCTCAGGGCAGCAAAATGTTTTGGCCGATAGAAAATCTTTTTGTCAAAATGGCCAGTCAAAAAAAGATGAATTTGTCTGGAGAAAAATCCACCCAAGCCCAAATTTTTCGTACCTTTCTTCAAATTTCAGAACAAGGTTTCACTGCGCTGAAGTAAATGCGCCGACGCATTAAAAGTTACAGATAGAGAGATAAAAATGCGCATAAGTTTTGTTCTGTCACTTGACCAAATTGGCAGTTTTCAAGCCGCTACAAGTTTACGAAAAAATACCCGGGTTGACCTCCATACACCGAAAATGCTTATCATACAATTCCATACATCAAGTGTGTAGGAAAATGCTTGTCATACAATTTTCATACAATTTCTAAAAATTGTTGAAAACTGGTATAAACTCATTTCTGTGGCATATATGGAAATTGTATGACTGGCATTTTTTTGATGGCGACACAAAAAATTTTTCAAGTAATTTTGAAAATTTGGCCCAAAAATTTTTTTGTTTTTTTTTCAACTGCAAATCGATTTTCGTACGCAAACAAACATTTTTCGAAAAAAAAATTTGCATGCAAAATTTAATATTTTGTGTGCATAACGTAGTCCTGGATACGATAAAATTGGCTTTTATTCTCTTTTCACTTAAATTTTTTTTTCAAAAACGCTGAAAATTCCTCTTTCTTTTGTATGTGGTGTTAATGTACGCCTTGATCAATGTCTGATAATTTGAAATCTCAAAAATTTAATATAATCATCATTAAAAAATTTTGCCAAAAAATAAAAGTTTGTTACTTTTGTTATATCAATTGTGAAAGACAGCCAGACTCAGGTCGTTATCTATGCATTGTAAATGCAAGACCGTCCAACCTTTGGTGTTTTGAGTAACCAAGGTCTTTGTGACTTGTGTTCGGTTGCAACTACAACCGAAAATTTTTCAGAAACTAATTTTAGAAAGAAAAAATCAAAATTTTTGGTTTATGGGAAAACGCCTATCATACAATTTTCATATATGGAAAAATGCTTATCATAGAGTTTTCATACAATTTTCTGTACGTATGGAATTGTATGAAATTGTATGACAAGA